AGAAGCATCTAACTATATCTAATCTATATCTATATTTATATGTCTATCTATATCTCTCCAGTAACAATGCTGCCAGGAGATGTCTCTTTGTGCAGCAAAAAGTTCAACTCAGAGCAGATCCATGCAGAAAAGAGGAAACAAGCCCTGACATCAAGGAAAGCAGCAGCCTAATCTCTCGCATGCTTAGCTGTTATGATAAACATTTAACATTTAGGACAGCCTCTATGTGACATGTCCGTTGCTAGTCATACAAAGTGGCAGGCATGAGCTTTCTGTGTCTGAATGTGTAAGCAACATACATATGAAGTCTTGAAATGCTGATAGGTACATTCCTTAAGCAGGGAGAATTTAAAGATACTACAATGATTGATGAATTTTCATTTCTGTGTTCTCCTGCAAAAATTACTATCTTGATAAATGCCTGTGGTAGAAACAGCTTCATAAACAACTCTTGTATTAGAGTTGTTAGTGCTATGGGTTCATTTATTTTTTGAAAACTTTTTTGTCTTGCTGTATATCCACATGATAAAAGCAATTACATGACAACTCTGCCTAGGCTAAATTTGTCCTTTTTATGCTACTGTCCTGCTTTTAAACAGAACTCCATTACAATATTGTAAAGATAGTTTGCCATTAGCTAGACTTCTAGAATCAAGAAGTCTACCTAGACTTCTAGAATCAAGCCCCATAACATTAGAYTGCAATTTAACAGCATTTGGACAGAGATAACTGAATGTGGGAGTGGGCTGCCAAATCCATGCTGCAAGATCGGGAGATAAACCAAGTCAATAGATCCTTTTTCTGATATTTAAAACTATAATGATCTAATTTGATTCTTCTAAATAAGCCAGGCCCTTGCAACTTAAAAATAAAACTGCTATATTTTTTGTAATTATGTATGTCAGCACTTACTATTTTTAGTTCATCTTCTAGAATAGGAATAGATATAAATTATGGGACCTAAAGAGTGGACTCTGAACTCTGCAGTCCAACACAAAGAAGAACCCCTACAAACATTTCAAGTTCACTTGACCACATTCAGCAGCACATCCCTGGAGACACGCTTCAGCAGTCAGTTTAGCCAAAAGTCATCAATCTTTGTATGTAAGCTAGAAATACAGAGACTGATCAGCAGTACTTTGAGTGTTCTTGGAAGGGTTGTATTTAAATAAGAGCTTTGTAACTTTCTTTTGATGTGATTATTTTCCTTGTGCTACTTTCATTCTTGGCACAGTTCCCCTGGGCTTGAAATAATTACAACAAGGATTAATTTGGCTTTTCTGTATGCTTTATATACACCTCCAAAAAAGGCATTATTTTTTCTTGTTTGCACTTCTTTGGAATGTGCGAGGATGACACCTTTTTTTCATATATAAACAGTGATTTAGGAGTTAGAGCTAAATCTAGTCAAAACTGTCAACTCATGAGGCGTGAGAAACTCCTTTCACCTCAAAGTTTTGTAACATTTTGATGCTCATCTAACAGCTCCTAATCCATGAATCATATATGAGGATCTTGGCTCTCAATTTAAACATACACCATTGCAGACACTGCAGACGGAAAGAAGGGGGAAACGGAGAGGTCCTACTTCATCTGATTGCAAAGAAAAAAATACTCCATCTAAGATATTTACATCAACATCAGGTAAGTCCCAGAGGCACTGCATTCTGTAACAGTTATGTTCAGATAGAAATTTAAATGAACACCTTTAACCAAAAGGGAGGTCCACACTAGAACAGAACAAGAGTCAACTCCTAATCATGAAAGACTGCAATCCTTGCTCCACATTCCCATGATGAGAGCACAGGAATGGAACTAGATCTGTGCCCAAGTTACCATGCTAAGCCAATTACCAGGCACTGATCTGGGATCCTGGCATATCAGTTACAAAAAACAAAGGAACAGAGAGGATATCAGAGCAGAGACATCAGAGCCAGCAAAGCTAAGCACTGCCCTCAGCACAGACTAGAATCCATCACAGTGCGCACTTCAAACATGGGTACAGTTTGATAACCACAGTGGCAGGACAGTGAACAGCACTCTGACTACAAGAGTAGAAGTGTTTGTGGACAAATTGTTTCCCTTCCAAACTCTGAAAATGCCTGTACACATAAAACAAACAGTCAGATGAATTCTTCAGCAATGGATACACACCAAGGCACTGTAATAGTACAAACAGAATGTAATCTGCCACATCTGTGACAGAAGCAATAATGCCAGTCAATACATTTAGATGGTTTTGTATTTTGCATCTCTACTTACTACTCTGCATTCTGCAGTTTGTGCAGGGCTTGTATAGGGGTTGGATATCCTCTTCCTTTTTCATGGAACTCCTTGTTCCTGTATTTATAGTGATGCACTAGTGTTGAATCAGAAATGTCTTGCTGCACTGGCTTGTTAATACAAAGCACAACTTCACCCTCAGTCTTCAAGTAGAAGTGAGTATTCTTCATAAATTCTTCAGCAATTCTGTTTACAAAGTAAATCCTACATATCTCAGAATCAAAACTTCTGTTCATACAAAATAAACTCTGTCCTGAGCCACACTCTCCCTCCATAGCTTTCTGCAGTAACACCAAATCTTTCCCATTCCTGGCTTGTCACTAATTGCTCTAGGCTGCATGTACTACAACATAAAGCATCATGTTTCTTACTTCCATCTCCACTGATGTGATCTACCTTGCCCTTTGCTAGTTCTTGAATATTAAAACTAAACCAAGTATTAGCAAAAGCAAAAGAGGTGGTTTGAAAAGTAGAAATTGCAGAAACTCTCTGCTCTCCACCATTGCAAATGTATGCATGACAGAAATAGACCCTCTCAGTATTTCTAGAATTGAAAAAGGACTAAATAGTATCTACATATATTCTTAAAGGCTTGGATAACAAAATGGAAAAGAAAAATCTGAAAATTCACAGACGAATGTCTGCTTTTTAGTAACATTTAATGAAAGATTATTCAATATATTCCACAATGCTTAGGACACATAAACACAAAAATCCGTGTCTAACCTAACTGAATACTTACTGGGGTGGCACTTCTCCTTTGAGACATAAAAATGTCTTTGTAAGGTCCCTGCTCAAACATTCAGTTGATACAGTTTAATTAAAGAGAGTAAATGAGGGGAAAAAAAGCATGTTTGAAAGAGAGACTAGTCCAAAAGCATAATGTCATTTAAACTGGCCTAAAATGATATACATCATCAAGATTTTTGATTTAATGGATAATCTCACTCAAACTTTCATCATCTATGAGATTATCATGCATGGAAAGTATCAGCTGTGCCTGGTACAAATGCAAGGATATGTCACTTCACATAAAACTCAAAGTAGTATTTCTTGCTAGTTGGATTGCAGCCTTTAATTATACCTTAAATAAGGCCCTAGTGCTGTAGACCTTAGGCCTTATACTAGCAGTTCTAATGGGATCACGAGCAAGGCTTCACATACTGGAGACGACAGGGTAGAATTCAAATCCCCTGCTCACTTTCAACTAAACCTTTGTTTGTCAAGCAGGCAGTGGGTCTATAAATAAATAAAAGCTCTAGGCTTTTCTATATAATTAGTTCCTGCCTTTTCTTACCTCAGAGTGTAAGACTCACACCTATCTGTTTAGAACAGAAATTTTTTCAACAGGCTAAACATATTCTTATTGTTCAATATTGCTCAAATTTTATATATTATATATATATATATATATATATTTACATATATATATAAATAAAATATATCATATATAATTTTATATATATGTGGCTCATGCACCACTTTTAATACATCACTCTTTGTTAGGAGACAACCTAACAAAGTCATTGTACATGAGCAAACACCCTAATCCAGTCTTTAATCAAACCTCCATATTTTAGTGGTGAGAATCAGCTGTGCATCTGTAATAAATTCACTTGCCAAGACTGCCCACCTTTTTGCAACATGTAGATTTAATAATGCCAGCACTTCTTTCCCTAAGGAGCAGGCTATATAGAAATGGGGGACTTTACTCATGTATCAAGTTTTAGTCAAATGTCAATCATTTTACCCTTGTTGAAATGCCACTACCTCTGAGTTAAACAACAGCATGTGACAACAACACTGTCCCAGTCTGAGGAGAGGAATTGTGTAATGCTTTTTGGACCAGGAAAAAGAAAATTTAACTACAGAGAACTTTAACTGATTAAACTGGAATTTGGACAGCACTCTGAGAACCCCATCACTGCCCATGCAAAAAGCACTCAGARGTTTTGAGAGTTGATTTAGGCAGTAGGTGTAATCCAGGTGCAATCCCACTTTGCCCTCAAAGTGAGATACTAGATATGGACCAATCCTACTCTTGAAACTATGTAAATATGAAAACGTTGTGCTGCATCCATTCCTGTAGGATGGATGGCAGGAGATGAAAAAAAAGTTATGGACATGGGACATAGGAACTTGCACTGGAAAAACAGAAAAAAAAATCATTTTATCATGGATTAAAATGCTATCAACTTCATGGTTAAGGCTGTAGTCATACTTCCTGTCTGCAGACTGCTCTGATTTACAGGTAAGGGAAATCATCTTACAACCTCCCTCCTGGTATTCTCCTCGTGCTTTCCTTTGTGTCTCCATGTCCAGCATTACTCATCTGACAAGGTGAAGGCAATACCTGACCTCCCAACTCTAGGCTACCACTTCTGGCTCATCATGAGAGTGTATAGCGCAGTTCATGTCCTCCCTGATCCATACACACAGCAAGGTCACTGCATGCCCTCTCTCATGACACAAATGTACCCACAGTGGACCTCAAAAAGCATTTTTCCCTACAGGTGCAGTACGCTTGCTAATGTGGGGTGCTKAGCTGTAGTTTTCCAAATCGTCTCCTCGGTGGGTGTGGCTTCTCTACCTACTGAGTWATGTGCCAGAGGGCCATGATGCAATGCAGCCCATGATCCCTGGCCACCCCTCACTGAGCCAGGCTGGGGCCATCCCCAAAATTCCACCACCCCTCAGCCACCCGCCCAGTGTCCTACCTGGCATCAGCTGCGCCGCTGCCTCGGGGGTGTTGGTGGGCACAGCGTGGGGCTGCTGCTGGCTGGAGCTRACCTCAGGCTCAGTGCTCACCGAGGGAGAGCCGGCCACCTCGCCACCCGGGGCCAGCTGTGGCACAGACGGGAGGGTCTCCTCAGCAGCCGGTGGCTCCTCCTGACCAGGCAGCTGCAGGGCTGACAGGGGGATGCTGATGGGTTTCCCAGCCGTGGTGGTGGCGTTGGAGCTGGTGGCTGGCACCTGCAGGGCGGCCACGGGGCCAGCGCCTGCTCCCCGCGCCGGGGAGGCCAAGGGTCCCCGGGGCGGGCGCTGCGTGGCCATGCGGGGCGGGCCGGGAGGGGAGGCGCACAGCCGCTGTGGGTCGGGGTCGGGACCCGGGGCTGCCGGGGGCACGCTCCTGGTGGGTCCCAGGCAGGAAGGTCCGGCAGGCGGCTGTGGCTTGGGCTTGGACATCTGCGTCAGGGCCAGGGCCGGCCCATCAGCGCCGGCCGTCAGCTCGGCGTTGGCCACTATGTAGTAGTCCTCAGGGAGCTCCTGCTTGATCTTCTTGAGGAGCACATCGCCGCCGCCCTCATCAGCGGGCTGCGCCTGGGCCTGGGCGGCGGCAGCCGGCCGCTTGCGAGGGCCGGCCGGAGCACGGTGCGGGTGCGGCTCAAAGTCACTGTCCTCGTCRGTGACAGAGGACTCACAGACCATGTCGAAGAGGGTGGCCTCATCCTCGTACTCCTCCACAGGCTCGCCCAGCTCCGACGGCTCGCTGCAGTAGGAGAAGTCGCAGGAGTCACGAGTGCGGGTGCAATCCAGCTTGGCCTTCCCTGGCCGGCCTGGGTAGCGCTCCAGGGGGCTGGCCTGCGCCTCCGATGGCACCCCCAGCATGCTGGGGCTGTCCGAGTTGAAGCTGCGGCTGTCCTGGAAGCAGACGCGCTCCTGGGAGCCGGCCCGGCAAGTGGCGGCCAGGGGCCAGTGGTACGCGTGGCCGGCACTGCAGCCCCACATGGCCGTCAGGTTGCCATGGGCCCCCTCGGAAAGCAGGTGCTTGAGGTTGGGGATGAGGCTGCAGATGGTGCCGTGGCTGTGGGCCCAGCTCACCAGCTTGGAGAGGTTTTCGGAGGAGGTGTGAAGGCAGTCCTCCATGGTGCAGGATCGATAGCGCCTTGCCGCTGGGAAGTCAGCTGAAGACACACTTCAGATCACTGAGTCCTGGCACTCATGGCTGTGTGTTGCCAAGATCATGCTTGCTGCTCACCTGCAGAGAAAGAGCAAAACCCCACTCTTCAGCACTCCCAAAGCACGACCACATTTGCACAGGCAAATGAAATATTTGTATGCTCAGCTAAACCCATTTCACTCTTATCTCATGCCCTTCAAAATATTGTAATATACAACTGRAGATAAAATTACTTTTCAAACAAGCCAGTTCGGTATCAGTGGTAAAATTATTAGAAGCTTAAATCTCTGACAAAATATAAAAGCTGTCCAAAAGATGGTGATTGTGTCTTCATACCTAGGAAATGAAAATTWAAAAAAATCTTAAAACATACCATTAATCTTGAACAGGGTAGCAATCAAGCGCCAACTTTGACTGGATTAGAAGAAACTATGAAGCTTTACATCATTTATGCACATTTCTCAAYTGAATCAAACATCTCCTTTCCAACTAAATTTGAGAGGCATCAAAAGGAAGGCCTGAGACTTCCTTTTCAAGAAAAGGAATAAGCAAACGAGCTCACCCTTCACTGTTCTGTACTGATAGTTATCAGTTGGTCAACAGCTTAAGAGATCCTTAAAGGATCTGCAAGATTTAAGACATAAACTTTGTTTAACATTTTGCTTTTTCTCATACCATCTCTTTTCAACATCTAAATCATGATTCAGTTCAAGAAAAACTTGCCATTTTCATCAAAACTATTTAGAAATTTGCAATACAAGATGACAGCAAAGTCTGAGCGTCTCTCTTTGTATACACCTAATGACAGAGAAGTCATCCCCAGTACAGCTGAAGTATCTGTAAAGTCCTGCTCATTTCTGCATGTCTTTTTGGATGCTCTCCCAGGGGCTAGCTGCCCCTGGGGAACACTTTCTCTAAAATCAACACAAGTTACTACCTGCTTACGTAGCTGCTCCTCAATGTGACCTCTCCCCAGTTAGCTGCAGATACCTGTCTTTGCTCTGTGCCCTTTCTGTGCTCTGTGCCCTTTTTGGGAGGTCAGGAGGCTGTGTTTCAATGATTTTGCAGCCTGCATACCCCTGGCCACACATTCCTGTTCACCAGGAATCATCTGTGGAAACCAAAACTGGAAATAAAATGGAAAACTACTGCCAACGATTTTCCCCACAAGGCTCCTTCTGGGTCTTTCCACCCAGCCCAGCCACTGTGAGTCTTTAGTGGCATCAAGAATGGAGTCAGCATGGGAATTTCTAATACAAACTTTTAGGTATTTTTCAATATCTTTGAAATTAAGCATGGAGGGAATGAATAAATRAGAAGAAGCATATCATTAGGAAGCAAAATTGTGTAAAATTCAAGCTTGTTTTTGCAGTAGCTCAAGCCAGAGTACATGGACAGAGAACAACTGCTACAATAACTCGAATTCCAGCCCACATGCAAACATAGATCTCAGAGCATTACCTGCAATGCAAAGCTCCTTACATGATCAGTGCATCTGAGGAGTATAATAAATGCAGAAGGTCTCCAGTTTGCAAGCCTTTTAGGCACTGGAGGAGACTTCCCTTTTCAAACAGACAACTTTTAAACATCAAAGACTTCTTTTTTGTTACATTTTGTTATTAGTTTTAAAGCCTTTAAAGATTCACTGCCACTCTCAACAGGGGTCAAAACCCCCAGCATCCGTGTATCTTCTGAGAGACATTTTCAAAGAGATGTACTTACAATGCACCCTGMCACAGAAGACGGAAGGAGGAACATCATACTCACAGCAAGGCAAAGAAGACAATCTGCAAAGCGAAGAGGGGAAAGAGACGGCTAAAGTCAGTGATACATCAGAAGCTGCATCAGTGTAAACCTGTGTGGTATCATGGAGCTGCTCAGCTGCCACACAACCAGGAATGTATCTTGGGAAGACAGAAAGCCCGGTTTGGCTGAAGAACCATTTTCCCCTTAGGGAAATGAGATAAGGTCTGCCACCGTCTAACTGCCAGGGTCAAGATTGTTTGTGCAGTTACTCAGAATCACTGTGTCCTCAGTTTGCAACTGCAACAAAAGTTGCCAATGGCACTTTGGCAGGGAGGAATTCAGAAAGCACAGAAAATGCCTAATTATGTACCTAGTTTCCTCAGGAGGACCTTGGCTGCTCAGTCAAACAGCACGAGCCTGGCTGAAAGTCTGCCCTTGTTTTCTAAATCACATTTTAGAGATTATGCAAGTTCTTCATTCAGTCTGGCAAGATCTGATAAAATGACTCATGCTTAATAACCTGCTAACATGATAACTCTGAAATCATACAGTAACTATCAAAAACATGCTGTAGCTTCAATGTGATCTACACTGGTATTTTAACTGCATTACAGAAGCCTTAATCTTTCACAGCACTTTTCTGCTATTCAGAACCTACAAATAACTAATTCAGAGTGAAGCACATCTRGGTGCTGGAAATTCTCTGCAGCTATTTGGATCCTGAAGTAAGAGCCAAATTTTAAGGCTTTTTTAGATTTTACAACCTCATTTACAACATGTCACTATAATGACTAATGTGTACTGTTCAAGAAAGTGGTTGCATTGTGAAACCATGCCTTGAGATCCRTTAATTCATTAAGGGGAACACCATTTGATGTGGAAAAGGCAGTATCTTCTGTATTCAGAACCAGAATTTTGTCATAGTAGATCTATTTGATGACCAAAGGGCAATTAAAAATTGCAGCCTTTAAAGAGTAGACTTCTTCCATGTTCTAGGATATGACTTGGCTTAGCAACTTTAATACAGACAAATTCTTCATGATTTTGCACAGAGCAGTAGGAAGATCCCTTGTTAAATTGCAAAGAAGATTCACTGACACCAGGCAAGTCCTGGGAGCAGCAGCAGTTGGTAGCTTCCAACATGAACCCTTTCATTTATCCTATGAAAAGAATGAGTAAATACCACTGGGGAGCAGAGGTTTGGCTATCTCAACTTCATTTTCTCCTTTGGCTCCTTGCACATGAAAGTGATAGAATGGAGTTTTGGTTTGGACATTGTGGAAGGTTCCTCAGGACTAAAAGGGCAATCTGTGACATGGCTTCCTCAGCAAGGAGGCAGCTGAGGTGAGGATGCAGTGTCGGAGCTGAATGCAAAAAAATGGGATGATGCAGAGCTCTACAGTGGGAAGTGGGTGTCCTAAAGCAGTGTCTGTGCACTGGAACATGCATGTGGTGGACCTACAGCTCAGAGAGGGTGGTGACTGCATTTTGTTGTAAAGAAAKAAGAAGATTTTTGGGATTCTCTCTTCTTACAGAGCCCCAGGTAACTAGCAATGGATGTCCTTTCCAGGATAATGAATGTTATAAAAGTCAATTCAGACTAACTTGCATCACACATATATATATTTGAAACTCTATTACCACTGCTGATTATTAGCACTCACATACTGATTYTTTTTCAGGGGAACAATATAGCCAGGACTATATTAACCTTCTTAGGATATGACGCCAAGGCTGATACTACTGGGAATTTTCTAAAAGTTCAAGATTCTCAAGATGCAAAGTTTACTTCTGTTAATAATAAAAAACAATTGTTCTAATCACACAGTTGTATAAAAACTCAAAACATGGAGTCCTAAAACATTAAAAGACAGGTCTAAAAACCCCTACATTTAGTCATTTTACATAGCATGGATTTCAAAGCAGTCTTACAGCTGAAACCTGACTTTTAAGTGTTTTTATGGAGAAGCAATGTTTTACCAGCTTCTACATTAAAAATTTTGACAACCATAAAAGATTTCCCCATGAGGAAAAGTCTTCTTAAAACTCACATTAGGGGAAAAAAAAAAAAAAAAAAAACAAAACAAAAAAAAAACACCCAACCAAAAAAAAAAAAACTTTGAAAGCAGTTGGGCTCTGCTTTCTCATATTTGCAAAAGAAGCTCAGAATATTTTAAATCCTCTCTGTTTTCAGCCTCTCCACTTTGCCAGAACTTACCAGGCTCTTACTCTATCACTATCTGAAGGGGAATCACTGCTTCATTTTTTGAAAAACCTATCTTTGCATACTTAAAAGCATTATGTATTAAACATTTGGCTACCATGGTGTTAAATTTCTGTCTTGTTCAAGTTTTCAGCTAATGGAAAATATTAGGGCTTCTCTTATTACTGGCATTTCTTAATTCAAGTCTTTAGCATTGATAAATGACTGAGATCAATAACAGCAGAAATCCAAGTGTAAATTCATCTGCAAGGGCAGAGTAGTACTGAGGTCCCCACAAAGTCCTGCTGCAGTCCCACAGGCCTCTCTAGCCATCAATCCAGGATAACCTGTAGTATTTCTCTTTCACAAAGTAAGATGCTGAAGTAAACTCAGCAGSAGCTATAGCCTTGCGCAGATAGCACCTCCAGATGCTGGGGGCCCCAGCCATGCAAAAGAGCACAAAAAATCACACCACTGCTCWTCAGCTACTCTACTATCTCCTGCAAGAGGACTCCTGCTAACAGTGGTGTTAAAGCTCAGTCTCATTGCCCCAGTGTTCTGATTTCTTCACCGATATTGCCAAGGAGGTCATCAAGACGACAAAGAATCCAGATACACAACCAAAACAGACCAGCAAACTGGAAGGAATGGGAATAGGTGAGTGCATTTTCTCTGATGTTTGACTTCGGGAATACAAAACTCCTATGTCAACTCAAATATTATTGAATTTACTTTCTGCTTGAAATWAGGACTATGAAGCAAGAAGAAGCAGAGAGGGAGAAAGGAAGCATGTAGAAAACAATGGCATCTTGTAGTCAAGGTATGAATTAACTGGTTTACCCACTTTACCAAGGGAGGAAGGGGTTGACTTCCACCTCAGATACAAAGGCTCATTTTACTTAGGAAAACATGTTTTTAATTGAATGTGTCTCCAGGAAACAAAAGGGTATACATTACAGAGGAAAGGATCACAAATCCTGGCAATTTCTGCAAGTCTGTGAGGTAGTTAGGCAATGTCATGTGTCCTTAAGCTAGTGAGTAATTCCTTCAGCTATGCCTATTTGTTATTGTTCCTTAACAATTTCGTACAGTCTCTGGATGGTGTCTTCCAGGGAAAAAGAATCTCTCACCACAACAAAATCACTATTTCCAACTTATGTAAGCATATGCTATTAGTCTGTGATTTTAGCTCTGTAAGAAATTATTTAGAAATAAATAGGCATACAAAGTACGAACAAAATCAAACCTTCATGCTAATTTTCCACCTCCACAAATTCTAGGATCCCAAATTTTACATAAATTGGGTTATTTTTATGTAGTGAGTTCCTTCCCTCTTGTATGTCTCAGAGCTTTTGTGCTTGTATTTTGGGGCTTCTGAAGCCAGCAGGARCTCTGCTGCTGAATAAGCAGGCTTACTCTCAATGAACAACAATTATAATTCCTATCAACAACAAGAAGCATCAAGAATGCTTTCCTGAGAGAGAAATTCAGAGGGTAGTAGGAATTAAAAATAATATATTTGTTTCTGGGCAAGTAATGCTGTCCTCCATTTAGAAAAATGTCATCGTTGTCTTTCACATTTGCTCCGTAAGGCTGCAGCTCCATCTAAGYTGATGGTTAGTCGTCAGGTTGCTCTCCTTGCCAAGTGTGGCACGCCTTCAGCTGCAGCTGTCATGACAGCAAGCCAGAACAAAGCAGCAAAACCTGTTTATTGGTGAAACTCCTCCTCTTTGCTGGTGATACTCCTTCAGCTGGCTGGGACAGCATTTGAGGGCTTCCTCACTTTTTCATGTGGAAGACTATCACAGGATCAAGAGGCTCCTAAGGGCCGGACCCATTCACAAAGTAGAATTTTACATGGACAGCAGAATTGACTAAGAAGCAGTTTGGGGACTCAATCCTTAATCTGGATGTAATGCTACAGGCATCACTGCTTCTAGTTTTGTATTTTTTTTCCCAGCACCTATAAAACAGGAGCTCTGAGCCCTTATGTTGCACAGTGTGACTGAAGGATCACARACCAAAAGAGCACTTGAAGAAGCAGGTGAAAAGGGAGCTGAACAGATGGTGCAGGAAACCTGATCAATCTGAGTAAGGTCTTGTCACRTAAGAACCTCTTTTATTACCTACACGCCAAAGTCTCAGTTAAGCTTCTTGAGACTGACCTATTTCTCACTCCATTTTCCCCATCTCATTGTGATTCTTCTGATAATTCCTCAGACATGTTAATTCTTTATCATGAATCCCTTATCAAGCCAACCACTGTTTTGGTGCCTGCCTRTGCTGAGCTTCAGTCCTCAGGAATATAGGCCTGATCTGATTGTTCTCATTTGCAGCATGTAGGATCATCAGAGAATGGTACAGAACTACTTCTTACTGAGGAAGGGTCCTTCCAAGGAACATGTCAGAAAGGGAAGTGACCTTTCTACAGTTCATTAATATATCTGCAAAGTTGCTGAGTATCTTCAGTTACAAAGAAGTCAAAGCACTTGGCAGAGCTATGCTTCATCTTTTTTACCCTGTGTCTTCCTTACACATCCCATAAAGAATGCCACAAGAGTTCTGCCACACTCTTCACAGAAGCTTTGTAGCACTAATGTAATCCTGTAAAATATCAACACTCCACACTACTTACATCTGAGTAATGTACAGCTGAACTCAGAAAAGATTTTAGGATTTTGACAGCACTGAATAGTATAAACAGAGTGATAGTGTTTAAATACTGTAAACATGGAAGACAGAGAAATCCTGCTTGTTCAATTTAGTGTTCAGCAACTGCACTCCTGAAACTTTCTTTCAAAGYGTCAATGAAACATAACTCATTTTGATCACAAAGAC